TCATTGTGTTGTCCAAACAAGGAGAGCCTGAGGCAGGTGTAGGGAGCCAACGCATGGAGCCAAGGAGGCAGTGCCAGGGAAGACGTAGCAATGACGCCTGAGTCACCATGAGCTGCCAGGGGGTGATCTGGGCCAGCTGGAGAGGCTTTTGGGTGTTTCTGGAAGCCTGCTGTGAGAGTGGATCAAAAGCCATGAAGAGGTCCCAGGAAGGTGTGCCTAGCTCCTAGGAAGGGGTTCCTCTTCTCCAGGTTTTGGAACTGCAGCCCATAGTTATTCCCAGTCCTGGCTGTAGGTCAGTATCCTCTATGGAGTATGCTAAGCCTTACTTCCGCCCTGGCTCTGGCCCTGGAGATTAGGACTTAATGGGAATATCACTTAGGATTCTATCGTGAACAACAGAAACCAAATCTGGCTAACTTTAGCATAGATAGATAGATAGATAGATAGATAGATAGATAGATAGATAGATAGATAGATAGATATAAAAACCACAAACCAACAACAGTAACAAATGACAGAGGTTGGTTGGAGGGGTATGAAAAAACTCTCTGAAGGGAAAGCCAAGAGTGTGTATGCTAAGGGCATACTCTGGATGCCCAAGCAAGGCCACGTTAGGAAGACCCTGTATGCCCTTCTTTTATTGGTTCCGTAAATATTTACTGAGCTCCTACTATGTGCCAGCTCTGTTCTCAATGCTGAAGATCCAACAGTAAGCAAAGCACAAAAATCGCTGCCCTTGTTGTAATTTCCATTTGAATGGGAGATTAAAAACACACATACAAGTGAAATATGTAGTATCAGATGATGATAAATCTATTTGGGGGGGAAACGAAGGAGAGTAGAGAGAAGGGATATACCAAGAGGAAATACCACTTTTAGGGAGGGTAGTCTACAAGGTCTCACTAAGGTGGGGAGGTTTGACCACATGGCAGTGAGGAGCCAGTGAACAATTTGGAGCAGGGAGCAATGTGATGAGGTCTGCATTTTTCAGTCTCAGTGTGAAAGATAGATTGGAGAGTGATCAAAGGTCAGACAGGGAGACCTGGAAGGTCACTAAAGGGCCTGACTTGTGTGCAATCACGGAACTTTGCAAAGAACTGGGTACCCTGTAAGGAGATTTATTGCAGAAAGACTGCCCAGTAGATTTTTTGTTGTTGTTTTTACCATACATCTTAATCAATACAGGAATGGATTTACCTCACAGTGCCCATCAGAATTCCGGAAGCTTTAAGGAATGCCACGAGAAAAAAAAAAATAAGGCCTTAGATTCTAGATGAACAGAAACAGATTTTAAAGCTTGCTCAGTTTCCATCCCATACTACATTTTAGCACTTGAATTTTCCCTCTCTCCTTTTCAATAAAGAACTTTTGAATTAGTCCTATCTATTTTTTTCTGGATGAAGTTGCCCCAATATCACCAATACAAATCCTGTCATCAAAACCCATTTCTCTACATTTGATCAGTCGCTCAGAAAATCCAGCCATCTAGCTGCCCTGCGTAGGAGGTTGCTAAATTGAATTTTAAAATGATTTCTATTAAGCAAAAACTTAACATATACCAGCTGCTGAGAGATTATAAGAGCTTTGTTTTTTCAATAATTGGAAACCTTGTTTACAGAGGACTCACAATATTCTTTGAGTGTCTTTGTGTTGAATACAAAAGAACTTGTGTTTATCTAGGCAATGATAATCCGACTATAAAGCAAACTCATTTAAGGATTATGTTTCCTGTCTCTCACTGTGCAGCTGTCACCCTTCTCGTTCTTTCAAGCTTTGCAAAGTGCTGAGAATGTGTCCTCAAAATTAGAAGAGGCACTGGACATGAACCAGGTAGCTTGGAATACACACACTTTTGAATTACAGAGAAACAGTGGAGAAAGGCAGACTGAGCCCTGTTTCTCATGGGTTAACTCATGGGCAATATTCAGTCATCACAAAGGGATTTTAAGGCTTTGTGCTGGCAAAGAAAACCGCAGGGCAATTTGGACAGTCCAGGATTTAAGCGAAGGGCAATACCGTGCCCTAGCCGATGGAGTCGTTGGCACGGGTTGGTGTCTGCTCTGAAGAAGCACCCGGGAGTGAAGGGGTATGTGTGGGTGTGAAGCCAGGTGCTCGTCCTGCGGCCTCACGCTCATTGTTGAGGGGCTCTCTGTAGATTAAGAGAGTTCATGTGCCCCCAAATGTTGTTTAGAGGCTTACATGAGATAAACATGGGAAGCCCAAAGGACATTCCTGGCACAGAGTAGCTGCTCAATAAACGATTACCTGTTACAGACAGTGTTCCAAGCCTCGCCATTTTTATATGCATTATCTCATCCAATCTTCAAAACAGCCTTATTAAAACACCCATTCTTATAATTCCACTTTTATTGAAAATGGAGGAAAATGAGATGCAAAGACGTGTAATAACCTACTAAGGGTCACCCGGCAATTAAACTGACAGCAGGGCTCTGCGTTCGTAATCTTTGCCTCGTTCTACAGCCAACACAGGCAGGCTCTGCTCTCAGAGCAGCCCCCACCACAAATCTCACGTGTTCGCTATAACACCTTACAAAAGTTTTACCCCAAATCCTTCTTCCAGTTGAAAACCTCCTGGGACAAGGTCTCTTGTGGCAGCTGCTCAAGCGTTAGTATGTACATGACCCCTTCAGTGTGCTGGCTCCACATTGCTGACTTGCCGACCAGCTCCCAGGTAGCGCCCTGACTGCAGGAAGCCGGTCCCCGGGCCACTCTCTGAGTAGCAGAGCTGCCAGGAGATGGAAGAGGGTCTCTCTCATATCTCAGTGTTCTGATTGGCCTCGTGTTTAAGTCAACTGGACATATCGCCACAATTTTCCTGCTTTTTCCCCTGAGGAAAAGCCCCTTAGTATTTGTTCAGGCCTGGTACCTGGGGACACTACCAATGGGAGTCCAATTTAGAGAGTACTTTTCAAATCTTTGGCAATATTGTTTCATGATTGTTTTTTTATTGTAGTACGATAGAGGCCCGGTGCATGGATTCATGCACAGGTGGGGTCCCTCAGCCTGGCCTGCATCCTCTCGCAATATAGGACCCCTCAGGAGATGTGGCACTGCTGATTTCAGCTCAATTCCTGGGGATTAGGCCAAAACCAGCAGTTCAACGTCCCCCAAGGGGTACACATTGGTGTGAAGTGGTAGGTGGTCAGGGAGGAGCCTAAACCCAGGTCGGCTCCTGCTCATCTCAGCCCTGCTGCACCTGCTGCTGCTGTTGCTCAGTAGTGCTGCAGCAGTGTGGGAAAATCTTGTGTCACCGCAGCTGTGCTTGCCAACCATGAGCCCAGCTTCTGGCACCCATTGGTCAGCTGAGCAGTGCCCCTCTGTGGGAGTGCACTGACCACCAGGGGTCAGCTCCTGCGTTGAGCATCTGCCCCCCTGGTGGTCAGTGCACGTTATAGCAACTGGTTGAACAGCCAAACAGTCAAATGGTCCACCGGTCACTTAGGGTTTTATATATGTAGCACATAGCTATATGTCAGATAACAAGATGCCGTTTCACACTCGGTGCTTCTGTTAATGACATGTTGTAGAGCTTCCTCTGAAAGTGACACTGAGCAGGCTTCACACCTTGAAGACTGAGCGTTATGAATGCTCCCCTCTCAGTTCAGAGCTTTTCAGTATAAAATGCACAGATGAGTGAGCGCATACTTAGAAGTGTCTACATGAATAGTATATGCCAGTCAAGCTTGTCCAAGCAGGATTGTGAATGTGGCCCTCGGATTCCTGGCTCCCCCTTTCTGACCATTTCTCTCTAGCTTCCTTCTATCCTTTTGGGTTCCCTGCATCCTTTGGAGGGTGGAGGTAGGACAGTACTTTGAAACCTCACCTCTTTCCCTACCTATGAGCCCTGCAGAGAAAACTCCCCACTTGAGCCCTGGCGGGGGGGGGGGGGGGGGCGGGGGAAGGGGGGGGGGTGGCTCTGTTGGTTGGAACATCTTCAGTGCATCAAAAGGTTACAAGTTTGATCCTTAGTCAGGGTGCGAATGGGAGGCAACCAATCAATGTTAATCTTTCACATCAGTGTTTCTCTCTTTACCTTCCTGTCTTTCTAAAATCAATAAGAGGTGAGGATTAAAAATTATTTTAAAAAACTCCCCATTTGACTGTAGACAAAAATAACTATAAATAAAACAGCTGCAGGCTCATATTCCATGCTGTCATAGCATCAATGGAAGTTCATAACTTAATGTGGCCCCACTGTTTCCTAGTCCCTGCAGTTAGACTAAAAGAACAAAAGCTGATCATGAGCATTCCTGTTCATTTCTCCCAACTCCAACACGAGGAACATTGGAAAAGAAAGTTCTTGTGAAAGTAGACTATTCTCTATGAGATAAAAATTCCTCAAGTTAATAACCCCAACACAAGCGCTGTAATTGGAAAATATTTTCTGAAATGCTTGTGGTGTTTGGTTGAGTCATAAATCTTGTCCTCTGCGTCTATATTTCTGGTGTCAAGTAATTTTAGTCATTATTCACTTATTGAAAAAAATAAAAATGTTGGAATATTGACTTTATGTGGGAAGGGACCAAATGAAAGTTATTTTTTAACCCAGAAGCACGCCTCATCTTTATTGTAAATACATAATGAAACAAGTGGGTGAAGATCAAAATAAGTGCTTATGTTTTATTCATGCTAAAAATATTCCTTTTATCCTCCAGGATGAAGCCTTCTAATATCTTGATTAATTCCCTTATATTAAAATAAGCATCACTTTGTTTCCTTTGAAATTCTTTTATTGGATGGTTGGGTTTGGGTGAAGAAAGGAGCCTAAATTCTTAGAGCAATATGATGATTCTAGAACATTCCTACCCAGACAGGGAATGTGTTGGTTAACTCCACGGATTCATGGATCTCTAATTTGGGAAACAAAAACTGTAATAACATTACAACCAGGACTACAGCTCTGTTTGTATAAAAAGCATTTTTATCTATCTGGTTTCCATTGAAGTGCATTATTAATATTTTTTCTTCTTTTAATATAGGTGGAAAACAGACCAAAATATTACGGAAGAGAGTATGTATTATGCTATTCTTTGTTTTAATAATGTAGTAAGTAGTCAATTCATATGTCATTTAACTATAAATATTAAAAAGCTCCTAATATAAGGTCTTCATCAAATCTCCACTGTGCAAGAGTCTAACAAGAATGATAAATGTAATGGGACCACTTGGTATTGCATTTTCTTTCTAAGACTCGGGTGCTTGGCTCCTGTGAATGTGGGAGGGGGGTGTCTCCTGGTGCATAGACCCCTCTCCACAGAAGCAGCCACTGAGGGCCAGGCAAGTATTTGAAACGTGAGGCAGCATTTTCCATAATTGAGACTTTGTGTTTTATTTCACTTTGAAATTTTTAACGAGTTAATACTTTCTAATTTGGGGAAGTTAGCAAGTATGGGACTCTAGATGGTGCACAGTACCCATCAGCTGACCCTGAGCGAGACCATGTGCCCTTCTTCCCTCCTCCCAGCCTCTGGCCTCACTTCCTTTTCACAAAGTTGGGGTCGTGAGACACACACGTCATGGGTTTCTGAAAATCCATGCATAAAGAGGAAGAGGAGCCACGGACTGGGTCCTCGGATTCACAGACCTGTGATTTCTTTAGTGGAACAATTGGATTGAATTTGGTTCTGACACTGCATAAGCTGCTGCTCACCACTTAAACACATCAAGCCAAGGTCGTGAAAACGTACTACTTCCAGGTTACCTGCCTATTGGTATATTTCCCCACCCCTGAAAGTGACATGGGGCAGGGCACCAGGTCCCTGAGCCTCTGTGTGTGCCTTCTCTTCAAGCCCCTGCCCTGCCCTACCCTGGCCACAATCAATCACATGGTCAGACTGTTCTGGACATCCCAGCCTCCAACCTTCTGTGACACCTGCTTTTGTCCCTTCTGACTCTGGTGTGGGAAACTCCTGATGCCCAGTGTCCCTTCTGCCCCTCCCTCTCCTATTCTCAGGGGCCCAGTATCAGGTCTCTCTGCCCAGCCCTCTCTGGCCCCAGCTCATGCCACATCGGAGGCTTCCCCATGAGGTTGGCAGGGTCCAGTGGTTACACTCACAAACCAGGCCCCAAACCTCTCCGCTCAGCTCCAGGAGCCCTGAGAACTGATCCACGCATGCTCTCCAGGGGCAACAGGGACCCACGGACCATGGCTCTGCACAGACCCCCCCAGGTTTCCTGCTAGAACTGGCAACATTGGCCTCCTTTGGAGCAGGAGGGTGGCTCTATGAAAAGCAGTGCTCCAAGATCATGCACTGTCCCCCAACTTAATCTTTGCATTCCTGGTGGGGGGGAACCCCAAACCTCCTTTCTAGCTGACTTCTCTCTCTCCCTGCCCTCTTCCAGGAAGGAATGTTTTGCAAACATATTCCTAAGCTATCACTCTCAACATTTAAAGGAACAAAGACATGTTTACTCTAGCTGGCCATCCTTTCTAGAGAATGAGCCTCTAACATTAACACATGTTAACACCCACGCGCCCACACACCCGAACCTGAAGTAAGCAGGTGGATAATCAATGATGTTCATTTGCAATCAGGATAATACATAGTCTCTGGTTTGGAGCAGAGATCTAAGCTGGTAATGGCTCTTGTGTTATTGTCCCTGGTTAACAAAGGAGCCATAATCTGGCATTTGCTTCCATTTTAATGTTCAGCTTGTGAGCAAAAGCAACAGCAGAAAGCCAGGTTGTCTGCGGGTTCATTGTGTCTGGCCTCCTGAATGCTTATGGTGGGTGTGGGTGCGTGCTGAGGGGTGATAGTCACCCAGGTGGGGGGAGGGTTGGGGAGGGCAGAGATCCCGGTGACCCCGGCATCTTTGTAGCCATCTCTGCGTGGCCCATGCTTTGTGTGTGATCTGTTCAGAGCATCCTGGTCTCCTCTGCCCTCAGGTTCCATGGGATCATCTCGCGGGAGCAGGCTGACGAGCTTCTCGGGGGCGTGGAGGGCGCCTACATTCTCAGAGAGAGCCAGCGCCAGCCGGGATGCTACACGCTAGCTCTGCGGTGAGTAGGACCATGCCCACTGTTGCACTTGTCTTATGTGAGGAGCGAGGGTTAAATTTCCAGGCGTGCAGCCTCCAGCAGGTACCCCATCTCTTCAAGCCTCAGCGCTCTCAGGAGTGAAACAGAAATAAGGACTGTGACTGTCTCACAGGATCTCTATGCTAACCAATGGGGGGAGCCCGTGCTCAGCCAGTGCCTGGCAAACAGGACACGTTCAAAAAAATGTTGGTTGCTCTTATTCACCAGTCTTACTTGTGACATTGATTCCCCTCTGGCCCCGCTCCTGGCAGGTTTGGAAACCAGACCTTAAACTACAGGCTCTTCTACGATGGCAAACACTTTGTGGGCGAGAAGAGGTTCGAGTCCATTCACGACCTGGTCACCGATGGCCTGATAACCCTGTACATAGAAACCAAAGCCTCCGAGTACATTTCCAAGATGACCACCAATCCCATCTACGAGCACATCGGGTACGCCACGCTGCTCCGAGAGAAGGTGTCCCGGAGGCTGAGCCGGTCCAAGAACGAGGCGCGGAAAGCGAGCGTCACGAGTGAAGAGCACCCCACGGTGGAAAAGGTAAGAGGCACCGAGGCGGAGGCAGGGTGTGCGTCTCGATGCTGAAAAGCCGGGGGACGAATCATAGGTGTGATTTGCCAAAACATTGGAGGAAACCCTCCCCCACCCTAAGAACTCTCGAACGTTAGTGCTTAACGGACCTTAGAAATCTTCCAGTTCAACAGACCCATTTTACAGGTGAGGAAACTGAGACCCAGAAGTGTTCAGAGACTTGCTCAAACTCAGACAGTCAGTCCCACAATAATTATCTCTGGGTTTGTTTGGAGTTTGAAGGGAAAAAACCTTCCGTTGATGTTGTATGGTGACAACAGTCACTTGCTTTTAATTGCATGAGAGGCATTACGGGCTCTGTCTACTAGTAGATTGCACCCAGCTGGCCATGCTGTTTGTGGGGGCTTCTCTGAGGACCGTGTGCACGCTCGCCCTGCAGCTCCTAAAGGTGGTCTTACCTGGGCGGCAGCCCGTACTGACACTGGTGAGCCTTGTGGCGATGCTGGCTGCCTCCCGGAGGCTTAGACAGACAGACTGCCTTTTGCCCCAAAGAAAGAGAACAGAAATGCCCCCCGGGTGAGCGGTCAGGCTGGATGTTCCTGCGGGAGGTGGCAGGAGGATGGGATTTTCCTCTCCGGTACCTGGCGGCGTGTGCGGAAGGCCCCAGACAGTTTGCCGGCGGGCTTTTGGATGCTCCCCTTTCGGAATCATCTGCTTTGCCTGGTCCTGTCTGTCCGCCACTGACAGAGAGTGACAGGTGCAGAGAGTGACTGGTGCAGCTTCGCAGGGGAGCTGGGGTGGGGCAGATATAAATAAGGGGGCAGAACCCTGGTCACTCATCATTAATTAGACTGGAAGGGAGCCCCTGCCACCCTGGTTGTCCAGTGTTAGCCAAAAGCAAGGACCCTCAGGTGGGCTGTTGGGCTTTGGCTTTGGCAGTGGGGATGCACCAGGAAGACAGGAAGACAGGAAGACAGGGAGGGGCTAAGGGGAAAGCGCATCCTGTTGGCAGACTGGGTGTGATTTCAATTGATTTGCTGATTGATTCGGAGCACCTTGGAGAACCTTCCCAGAATCACACCGATAGAGCAGCTGGCCCCGGGAAAAAGTCATTTGCCGGTTTCTTTGGATCACGCCAGTGTCTCCAGAGCACCTGCTTATTTTGTGTTTTTTGTTTTTTCCCAAATAATTGACCTGGGACATGGTGGGGTTTCTGATTGTTTGCCTTTTAATGAATAGAGAGAGGACTTGAGTCCCAGTGTTCAGAGTTTGTTCTGGTTGGTCTGGGCGAGAGCCATTTCTTAGCCTGTTGGGGAAATCTGTTCCAAAGTCATTTCGAAAAGAAAATCTGGACGCTGACCTTCCTGGCGTGACAGATCGGAGGATGAATTGTGAAACAAATCTCCAAGGCCGTGTTGATATTTCTGCATCGGAGAGTAATGCCACCCAGAAAGCAATTGGTTACAACTGCAGGCTGGGCTCGGGCACGTGTCTCGGAGGAGAGAGGCATGGGAGCTGGTAATGGGGAGGAGAGTTCAGAGCCTGGGAATTGGGGTTGTTATTTCTCCATCCTTTCTCCCCCGAGAAGGAAGTTCCATCAATAGATGCATGTCTCTGCCTTTTTCTGCCAAGGGCCATTTGTATATTAGTAACATCACTCGAGGGCCATACAAAATTATCAGCTTAAAACCTAGCCTGCCAAATTTGGTTGAATGTTTAACTCACCCCTCATGCCTTGGCAGGGCCAGACCAAATGATTTTTGCAGGCCTCATATGGCCCGCAGGCCAGACATTCCCCACCCCTGATATAGATCATCTTGTCTGTGTTTGTTAAATTTAACATTTGGAGGAAATTAATAATCAGGGTACTAACCCCTTTGCACAAGCCACTAGGAAATGTAAGGAGATGCTGAAGGAAGACGCCTACACGCAGGGAAGAGCTGGCGGACAGGTGTCAGTGTGTGGACTTGCTTAGACATGAGTGATGAAAAGTGTGGCTCTCCGTGGGGCACTCTGAACACTGAGCTGGTCACCTGTGGGGGGTCGCTCATTCTGCTGGTGGGCTTGTTAAGTACGTTGGTACAGATACGCCCATTTCTCCCGGATCTGTATTGACAAGGGGAATTATTGAAAGTCTCAGTCTTGCCAGAGATTCTATTTCCCTGCAGGGCAGGGCAGTGCACTGTTGCCATGGAGGCAGTGACTAGAAGAGAGGGGGCATGAACTTGAATGGATTGGTGGGGAGGTGCCATGACCGAAGCACACGGGGCCATCCGTGTGCTTCGGTCATGGCGCGTCTTGCAGATTTTAATGAAGGACGTGTGTGCCTTTTCTAATAGTTCTCCAGTTCGGACAGCCTCGCATTTCATTTTCCAGAGTTCTTAAATGTGGTTCGCCCACTTATTTTATTGATCATTTCCAGATAATCCAGAGAGAGCGGATTCCCTGTAAATCTGAGAATATTAAGTGTTAATTAGCGGAAAGTTATCATAACCTGCCCCCTTGGATGTGAGTGGTTTCCAGATGTCTCTCCTGTCAAGATGGCTGGCAGTGAACGGGCCTTTAATAACTTAGATGAGGTAGAGCAATGGGGAGGGTGCAGATGAAGACGAAGTGGTGGTAGTTGGCCAAGAGTGATCTGTTTTCTCTCTGACTCTTGTTGTAGTTGATCTTAAAAACATTCTGATGTATAAAGGCCAACATTTGGCACATTTGGTTAGAATGCCATTGCCCAGGGTAATTTCTTTCATGAAATGCATGTCAAAATTTATTCCATAGATGTACTATCTACTGACCTGCAAACATGGACTCTAAGCAATCTAAGAACCACAGGGTTTAACATTGGTTCAGACAAGCCAGGGTAGGAGGTGGACCAGCAGGTGGCAAGGAGCACTAAAGAAGTGGCAGGCCGGCCTGTGTGGCTCAGTGGTTGAGCATCGACCTATGAACCAGAAGGTCATGGTTTGATTCCCAGTCAGGGCACATGCCCAGGTTTTGTGCTTGATCCCCAGTGCGGGGCATGTAGGAGGCAGACATTCAATGATTCTCTCTCATCATGGATGTTTCTATCTCCCTCGCCCTTCCCCTTTAAAATCAATAAAAATATTTTTTTGGAAAAGAAGTGCCAGAAACATCCACTACAGCCAGCCCCACCCTCCCTAGCCCGTGTTCCCAGGCTGGCCTCCCCACTGGCCTGTGGTCCACAGACCTCCTGGGGCCCTGGCCTCCCTCCCTCGGCACCTGCCGTCTGAAATGCCTCTCCTCCAGCGACCTTCTGGTTCCCTCCCATTCACCCTTTAGAGTCCAGCACAACCTCTTTAATAAAACCCGCTGGCCCTCCCTCTCCCTCCCCCGCCCACTCCAAAGGAATCACTGCCATCTCACAACTACCCCAGCGTTTTACACAAAATCCAAAGGAATCGCTGCCATCTCACAACTACCCCAGCGTTTTTACACAAAATCTTCGTGATACTTGACCATGCTGCCTCCAGGTGGTTGATTAGGCCAGTGGTTCTCAAGATGTGGCCCTCAGGGACCAGCCACATCAGCACCACCCAGGAGACTGCTGGGACAGGCACCTTCTCGGGTGTCACCCACACTCCTGGGGCAGGAAGCCTGGGGGTGGCACCTGCCAGCCTGGGTGTGAGCAGGCCTCCAGGTGGCTCTGGTGCACACATGCAAGATGATGGTGAGGCAGCTCTTTTCCTGGAGGCTCCGTGGGTGTGTCCTGGTGGAGGGGGTCTTGGTCCTGAGAGTGGAGAGGCTTTGGGACTTCACTCAGGGCAGTTGATTCAGACACATGTTGCCCATTGCCCTGCCCCAACCAGAGGTGCCACATTCCTTAGCCAGCGTTGTTCATGCAGAAAGCCTCGGGGAGCTGAAAAAGACCTTGGCGGTACAGGGTCCGGAAAACCTGTAGGCTTGCTCCTCGGGAGGCCCCTGGGAAGTAACATGTGACTGAGATAACCAGCCTTTTCCCAGGAGTCAAGGATGAATGGCGATAAGCATAACGTAGCTAGTGAGTGTGACAGTGCAGTAATGGCTCTGCCCATCCATCTCCCGGCTCACGCGCGGGTCATAAAACGGAATGGGATAGATTGCTGTAAGACTGGCTCTGAACTTAGATTACATTTGCTCATGAAACCAGCCTTCCCGAGCGTTACCTTGCATCCGAATCCGCCGATGGTGCGGGATTTATCATGCGGCGAGAAAAATAACTGCTCTGGTTAGGTCGGGGGTTCTCAGACTGGCTGCAGGCTAGACTCGGCCTGGGAGCTTTTAAGAAATACCCATGTTCGCCCTTCCTGGCTTACTGCATCAAAGCTCCCTCTGGCGACCTTCAGGAGGTGCGGTTTTTAAGGTTCCCCAGGTGACTCCAAAGTTCTCAACCCCGGGTTTGAGGAAAGGTCAGAAGGGGAAGCAAGGCTGTCGGACACTTGAGGGAGCAGTTTCTTTTAAGGTCACCTGCTCCACCTCCTGGCACACTTTTGTTCTTTCTGTGAGCCCTCTGTGTTCTAACGGAAGCCCCGGCGTGCTTTCCCGCCCGCTGCCTTCACTCAGTCCTCCAGGAGGACACTGTGGAGAGAGTGGGTTTGGGGGGGAGGGGCAGGCTTCCCAAGATGGGGTCAGAGGATTGCTTTGCTCCTCCTTCCTGGCTGCTTCTCCAAGGCTGTTGGCTAAAATTGAAATGATGGGGGGGGGGGGGGGGGGCAGTGACTGTGGTAAGAGAGAGAGACTTCTCTGAAACAAGGAAACATGGGTGTCTCTTCCTCAGGGGCCAGCCGGTGGCTCTTCATGATGCTGTTTCCAGGGCTATGGTTCTCGCCCTTGGCCGCCCCCTGGAATCGACTGGGGAGTGTTCAAAATACAGATGCCTACACTGCACCCCCACTGCCCCCACCATTGCCGCTGAAAGTCAGACTTAACGACTTGGGATAAGCCTGGGCGACTGGGTTTTAGATGCTCTTGGGTGATTCTGATAAGCACCTGATGCTGAGGAGACCCTCCTA